GCTAGCCTTGAGCTGAAGAGCTGAGGGACAGCGCCCAGGCCCAGAGCTCAGGCCCCACGACCACCGACACCCCCCCATAAAAAAAAAAAAAAAGAAAAAAGAAAAAGTACCTAGACTCCATATCAAAATAAGGAATCTGGATTCACTGGCAAACACCTGCCATCCTAGCTATGATGGGAATCCCAAAATATACGCATTATAGCCCAAGTATACACCTGAGCAAGAAGCAAACTATCTATCAAAAATGCCCAGCAAAAAACATGACTGAAAGTATGGCTCAGCAGTATCACACCAGCCTAGAAAGCAAGAGTCCTTGGGTTCAAAACTGCAGTATTACCACTAAAAAAAGGACACAGGAAGAAAAACACTGTAAGAAAAAGCCTAGAGAATACCTACCTTCAACAGATTGCGTGGTCTGTAACTGCGTGGCCTGCACAGAACTGAAGCCATTCTGGTATGAGAAAAAAATAGGAATAAGAACAAATACAAACTCACAGGTAAAAGAAATTGGCAATCACACAGCTTAGTTAATCCTTTTAGAACAAATGCCTAGGTAACCAAAGGATCAATACAGTGATACAAAATAACTAAAAATGAAAACCAGACAGTGACAGAAAGCACTTGAGTGACTTAAAGCAACAACTAAATGGGTGAAGTTATCCAAACCTAAAACTAATTTAGGAAAGGCACAAAGTCTAAATCCAGCAATCACTGTGGAAGGTTCTAAGACTAAGAGCCAAATCACCTATCCTGACCACTGCATCTGGTAGTTGCTCCGTATCAGCTCTGGTATACACTAGCCCTCTCACCAACAAGCAGACAAACCAAGGTAAGATGTACTGATATGTACTATGAAATCTAACAATGAGACCTTCCAAGAGAAAACGGGTATTTGAAATCGATACTGTAAAGAGAATGGTTTTTGGCTGAGTCTCCAGGTTTGTTTAGGAAAAAATATTTCTAATCTCAGAAGTATTTTGTTTGTTTTTTTAAATGGCTGGTCCTGGGTGTTATCCCTGAGCTTTTGTGCTCAAGGCGAGTGTTCTGCCACTTGGGCCACAGCTCCACTTGCAGTTAGTTCTTTTTTCCAGTTTATTGGAGATAAAGACTCTCACAGACTTTCTTGCCCAGGCTAGCTCTAAACCATGATCCTCAAATCCCAGCCTCCTCAATAGCTAGGATTATACAGGTGAGCCACCAGCACCTGGCTTATTTTTCTATCCTTATTTTAAAATTTTCAGCCAACATTCCTAAAGTTTCTTAAATTTGCACCTAACGATAGGCTCCAGGCAAGGTTGTAAGTAAAATATTTAAGAGACCTTGGCATTATTTTCAAAATAAATGCTAAGAGGCTTGTGAAATTAGTACCTTTGCCTGAGTCAAGTCCTTTTGGGGTGATGAAGAGATGGAGCTGGGGTACCGCCGAGTCTGTGTGGATCTCTGTTCATATAGAGGGCCCTGAGCATTATTTTGGGAGGTATAGGTTGTCGACTGAATTGGGCCACTCTGATAACCAGACTCCTGACTCTGGTTAGATGAAATTGTAGATGAAGATTCACTGTGAAAATGAAAAGAAGAGAATCTCAGAAACACAGTAGATGCACTAATACTATGGAAGTAGAAACAAAAAACAGTGTAAGTTAGGCACAGGTGAGCTCAAGCCTGCAATCCTAAACTATGTGGGAGGCAGACATCAGAGAATCATGGCTTGAGGCTAGCCCAGGAAACAAAAAGTTCACATGACTCCAACTCAGGCATACACCTGTTAACCCAGTTAAGGGAGAATCACAGTGCACCTACTATCCCCAGTGACACAGGAACCAGAAGTAGGAGGATCAAAGCCCAAGGCAGGTTTGGCATAAAGAAAGATCCTACCTTGAAAATAACCAATGCAAAGAGGCTGGAGGAGAGACTAAAGTGGCAGGGTACCTCCCTGGCAAAGTGCAAGGCCCTAAATTCAATCCCTAGTACCACTACCACCAAAAAATAAGCATATATATATATATATATATATATATATATACATGCTTAAAAATATCAGCCAGGCATTCATGATTCATATTTGTAAATTTAAACACTGGTTTGAGGGGTCAGTCGTGGGGCTTGAACTCAGGGCCTGGTCACTGTCCCTGAGTTTCTTTTGCTCAAGGCTAGCACTCTACCACTTGAGCCACCTCACCACCGCTGGCTTTTTCTGTTAATGTGGTACTGAGGAATCAAACTTCATGCATGCTATGCAAAAGCATTCTACCACTAAGCCACACACCCAGATCTAATTTTAATTACTTTAAAGACTAGTATCAGGAGGATGGAGAATGAGGACAACATGGGCAAAACTTCTCAAGATCTCACCTCAGCCATTAGCGGGTAGTATACACCTGTCATCTCAGCTATGGCAGGAAATATAAACACATGCTGGTGGCTCACACCTGTAATCTCAGGTACTCAGGTGGCTGAGATCTCAGCACTGTGGTTCAAAGCCAGCCCATGCAGAAAACTACTTGCATGAAAAACAAACACAAAAACATCCAGACATGTTCAAGAAAAAAATGAGATCCTACCTCTGAAAAAAATCAAAAGGAAACATGGATGTGTGACTCAAGTGGTAGAGCCATCTGTCTAGCAAGTACAAACCCTACTACTGCCAAAAAGAAAGAAAATCAAAATAAAATTTCAAAATTGAAAGAAAACCCATCTTTCCCTACAATCTATAGGTATAAGCTCAAAGTCAGTAAAATGGACACTACTCTTGGTCTGTTTTGTACATAACAAGAAGCTTCAACAAAGAAAAGTCATTTTTTGCTCAAACTCAATTTGTAAAGTCCTGAGCTCCAGGCTTCCTTGACAACCTTGTTAAATTTAAGATTACTTGTACTTGTGAGTCAACCAATTTAAGAGTCCAACAAGATGTCTATTGTTATTCTTAATAAGATCTTCAAAAGAGATTGTATGTGTGTGTGTGTGTGTGTGTCTCTCTCTCTGTCTGTCTCAAGGTCTTCCTTTCACTCCCGTTCAGCTTTTTCACTAATGCCTGGAGGTCTACCACTTGAGTCACACTTCTAGTTTTTCTGCATTTTTCTGGTTAATTGGAGATGAAATCTCACAAATTTGTCTGCTAGGGCTGGCTTCAGATCTCTATCCTCATATCTCAGTAGCTAACATTATAGACATGAACCACCAGTACCTGGTTGAGCTTGAACATCCTAAAAATACCCAAGGAGCATATATCTGTTTCAAGTTACAAATAAATAAACACACACACACACACACACGTGTGTATGTATGTATATACACACATAGGTGTATTCATATGTTTGTATGCGTTTTTTTCCCTTGGATGTGGGACTTGAACTCAAGGCCTAGGCACTGTACTGGCCTGTCCTTAATCTCTTGCTCAAGGCTAGACCTCTACCACTTTGAGTCACAATGACATTTCTGGCTTTCTGGTGCTTAGACATAAAAGTCTCAGAAGCTGATGGCTCACACCTGTAATCCTCATTACTCAGAAGGTTGAGATCTGAGGATCACAGCTCAAAGCCAGCCCAGGCAGGGAAGTCCATGAGACTCATCTCCAATTAATCACAGAAAAAGTCTAAGTGGCACTGTGGCTCAAATGGTGCTAGCTTGAGCAAAAGGAGCTCAGGGATAGCGTCTAGGCCCAGAGTTCAAGCCCCAGTACACACTCATAGACACAGACACACAGACACTCATGGATTTTTCTGCTCAGGCTGGCTTTTTGAACCATGATCCTCAGATCTCAGCCTCCCAAGTACCTAGGATTACAGCTGTGAGCCACTGGCACCTGGCAACATGTGTGTGTGTACTTGTGCATGTGCTTGTGCATGCACATGCCTGTTCTGAGGCATGAACTTGGGTAGGATGCTACTTCTGAGACTTTTTGCTCAAGTCTAATGCTCTACTACTTGAGCCATAGCTCCAGTTTTTTTGGTGGTTAACTAGAAATAAGAATCTCATAGACTTTCCTTTTTTAGGCTGGCTTTGAACCGTGATCCTCAGATTTCAACTCCTGAGTAGCTAGGACTATAGGCAGGAGCCTATAGTCTGGCTAATACATATGTATCATATCTGTATCTATATTTTTCCTCTTAAAATATATATTTATAGGACTGGGAATGTAGCTTAGTGATAAGAGTGCTTGCCTAGCATACATGAAGCCCTGGGTTCACTTCCTCAGTACCACATACACAGAAAAGGCCTGGCACATAAATTAAACAACAGCAGCAGCAGCAACAACAACAAAAATATATAGAGCAGTCAACAAAATACTGTGATTGACTACTGTTCTCTCATCCAGTCAATGCATGACTTCTCTAGAGTTTCAAAAAATGAAGAAAAAATTTAGAAGATTACTGAAAGAGGGCCTATAATTAATGTTTCCTATACCTGGCCGTGCTGGTATACAGGCTACTTGGAGCCTGACTTGAAGAGGCGCTCGTGGTGGGGGTAGACTCATAATCAGAAAGAACAGGCTCTGACCCAAACTGCAATGCCCCAAACTGCAGATTTAGCCCTGAGATATCTGCTGAGCCAGGCATCTCCACAGCCAGAGCAGGAATCTACAAAGATGAGTGAAAGACAACAGAATTTAATTTCTAAACTTAGTCATAAATCTCAATTCCCAAATACCACATCATCAAGTACCTTAGAAGTCAGGGAGGCTTTTTTCTTCTGCTGTTTCAGTTTTTGCTGAGCCGGCTGAGGGCTGGAGGATTGGTTGTCTGAAGACACAGGAGACATCTGTGGGGCCGAGGTGGATTTACTTGGCAAAGGAGAAGAGGGTGGTGGAGGTGCTGCTGTGGAGGTAGCCACTGCAGGTGGCTTCTCCTGAAGGAACACCTCCATCATGGTTGAAGATGGGGTAAAAGCCTGGCGCTTTGTAAAAGGGCTATGCACTGTTGAATCATTTGGATTCTTCAAATCTACAAGAGGAAACCCAAAGTAAGAACAAAGGTGATGTGGGGTCCCAAAAAAATACTATCATGTACTAGTGCCATAAATGAGGCCCTCAAGATTCAGAAACTCATTTAAACATGTACATTTGGGATTAAATCTCATCTCCTTTGGTAAATATTATAGGATTTATTACGTAACATCTAATTAAATCAACCCTTGAACCTTGCTTTTATAACAAAGAGATCTACAAATTGCCCCAAGTTAATAAGGTCTTAGATGGCCCACCCTGTGAACCCAAAAGTAGCTTGATATTTAAAAAAAACTGTGGGCTAATCTAATGAGAATCTCATTAGATCAAATACCTAGATCAAAACAAAAACAAACTGCAACTATGCATGTAAGTTTGATAACAGATATATTATTTCAATTTTTATTATCTAAGTTTCTGACTAAGGAAAATCAGAGAAATACTGCTCATTCTCTTCGACACAGTTATCAATCCTCCTGCCAGTCTATTAACAATAATACTAGAATGGGTAAAGGATTTAAGTCACTATAATCTTCTTACCATACTGCACCAGAGATGGCGATTGTGTGGTCGAGCTCATGTCCCAAGAGGAGGTGGTGGTGCTTCCAGATTGAGAATGCTGAGCTGCCAATTGAGCCAAGGCCTGAGCAGTCTTAAACTGCTCCAAGAACTGGGAGCCTGTGGTACTGCCACCTTTAGCTTCACCAACATCACCAAATCCTTTCCCTAACATGCTCACCTACAGATCAACAAAATAATTAGTCTCTGGATCAGTAATCTCACTCAGCTACTCACAAAGTTATTTATCCAGCCAAAAACCTAAGACAGATCAGAAAAAGAACATGAACAAGGTGGATATATTAGCATACGGCTGTAATCTTAGCAAAAAAGATAAGGACATGATGATTCTGAGTTACAAAGCAGCCTGGACTACAAACTAAGTTTTACACCAGTCTAAGCTACACAGTATGACCTGGTCAGATAAACATATACACACATGAAAGAATGTTACCAAACCAAGAGTCACTGCATGTACTTAAGTGTCCCAACCACTCAGAAGGATGACTTGAGCCCAGGAATTCAAGACAGACTACACAAAACACTGTCTCAAATAAATGTAAAACATTAAAAAATGAAAAATAAGAGCTAACAGACTGAGTACACAGCACAAACTGTTATGAGTACAAGTTCTACAGTAAAAATTATTTAGGTTCAAACCTTAGGTATGAAATCTTGGAAAATTTACTATTACTCTCTCCTTATCTCAGTTTACTCATCTGAACAGAAGAATAAAAAGAAATCACCAAGAGGTGTGGCTTGTGCCAGGTGTCAATGGTTCCCACCTGTAATCCTAGCTACTCAGGAGGTCGATCTAAGGATCATGGTTTGAAGCCAGCTAGGCAGGAAAATCTGTGAGACACTTATTTCCCATTAGCCATCAAAAAGCCAGAGACAGAGCTGTGGCTCAAGTAGTAGAGCACTAGCCTTGAACAAAAGTTCATGGACAGCACCCAGACCGTGAGTTCAAGCCCCAGGACACACACAATAAGGTATGGCTCTAGTGGCAGTACATTTGCCTGCCAGTAAGTGAAAGTCTAAAGTTCACAAGCTCAATAACACCAGAAAAAAAAGTACACACAAGTTGTAGGATTAAACAATATATTTAGCTAGGCACCAGTGGCTCAAGCCAGTAATTCTAGCTACTCAGGAGGCTGAGATTTGAGGATCATAGTTCAAAGCCAGCCTGGGCTAGAAAGTCTGAGACTCTTATCTCCAATTAACCACCTGAAAACCAGAAGTGGTACTGTGGCCCAAGTGGTAGAGCGCTAGCCTTAAGCTGAGGAGCTCAGAACAGCACTCAGGCCAAGAGTTCAAGCCCGATAACCAACAAAAAGAAAAAATACTTTTGGACTTACTACCTCCTGTACAATGCACATTAATTACTCAAAAGTTGAGACTATTATGAATAGTAATATGTGTAAACTTAACGTTTTTATGAAAAAAAAAATTTAGAGGCAGTTGGGTGCTGGTGGCTCATGTTTGCAATTCTAGCTACTCAGAAGATCTGAGATCACAGTTTGAAGCCAGCCAGAGCAGAAAGTCCTCAGGAGACTCTTAGCTCCAATAAACTACTCAAAAAAGACAGAAGTGGTGCTGTGGCTCAAGTGGTAGAGCACTAGCCTTGAGCACAAAGAGACACAGGTACAGATCGCAGGTCCAGAGTTCAAGCCTCCAAAACAAGAAAAAAAGAAAAAGATAAACACTTCAGAGGCAAGAGGATCAAGGTCAAGCTGAGTTAACAGTTAAACTGCCTCAAAAATTATAAGAACCAGGCTGGGAAGCTGGCTCAGTGGTACAGCACTTGCCTTGCATGCATGAGGCCCTGGGTTCCATTCCTCAGCACCACATAAGAAAAAAGAAAAAGAAGCCGGAAGTGGCGCTGTGGCTCAAGTGGTAGAGCGCTAGACTTGAGCTGAAGAGCTGAGGGACAGCACCCAGGCCCAGACAGGACACCCCCCCCAAAAAAAAAATTATAAAAACCATTAAAAGCTGGTAACATTATCATTCTGTCCTCATGGATAAAGTTAAGAACTGTAGAGCTCCCCACACCCTTAGTATTTTTTAAAATAACCAATATTTGATTATTAACATGAAGGTAATTATAACATTTTACTTCAGTCAGTAAGATTTTTCCAATAAAACAAAACCAATTAACCACAACCATCTCAATTGAATGCTGTGACTATGAAAACACAGGTGAAAGAGAGATAGGCACCCCAATTTTCAAACCAATCAACAAATCAGTGTGATTGCTTCCTAATAACCAAGAAAAACTCCCTTTTGGGGGCAAGTAAGTCTCACCCTATGGCCCAGACTGGCCTTGAACGTCACCAAGTTCTTCCCACTCATTCTCCCTCTTTCTGTCTCCCTCACTGTCAGTCGTGGGGCTTGAACTCTGGGTCTAGGTGCTGTCCCTAAGCTCCTTTTACTCAAGGCTAGCACTCTACCATCTGAACTACAGTACCACTTCCAGCTTTTTTTGCGATGAATTAGAGATAAGAGTCTCTCAGATTTTCTTGCATGGGCTAGCTTTGAACTGCAAACCTCAAATCTCAGCCTCCTGAATAACTAGGGTTTTAGTTGTGAGCTACCAGTGCCCGGTTAATATCAGAGTTTTTGGACTGCTTGTTCAGCACTTGTCCACTGGACTAATAACACAAGCCACTTTTTAGTTTTTTTTTTGGTACAGGTACTAGGTTCTGATCTCAGGGTCAGCGCTGTCCCTCAATTTTTTCATACAAGATGAGCTTTCTATTACTTGAGTCACAGCTCCATTTCCAGTACTCAGGAGGTTGAGATCTCAGAATTACAGTTCAAAGCCATCCCGGGCAGCACAGTCCCTGAACTTTTTTTTGGGGGGGTCTGGTTGTGGGATCTGGGAGCTGTCCCTTAGCTCTTCAGCTCAAGGCTAGCGCACTACCAATTGAGCCACAGTGCCACTTCCAGCTTTTTTCTTTTTTGCTTTTGTGGTGCTGAGGAATCGAACCCAGGGCCTCATGCATGCAAGGCTAGCGCTCTACCACTGAGCGACCTTCCCAGCCCCATCCATGAGACTCTTACCTCCAATAAACCACTCAGAAAACTGGAAGTGGCACTGTGGCTTAGGTGGTAGAGTGCTAGCCTTGAGCTGAAAAGCGGAGGGACAGTACCAGTCCCAAAGTTCAATCCCCATGACCGACCAAAAAAAAAGAAAAGAAAAAAGTGATGGTACCATTTCTGACTTGTTGGTTTAGATGACTTTTGCCTGGTTGGATGATTCTGATCTGCTTCCTGAGTAGCTTGAATTACAGGTTTGCACTGCCACAACCTGTCTAAATCATGAGGATTCTGGTTTAATCAATAGATTAGTTGCTTTAGATCTCTAACTTGATAGCATTATTAGGAAGTGAAAGAAACCAGGAGGTAGACTCTAGGTGAAGTAAGTAGGTCACTGGGGTGCTTGAAGGTATACTTTTATTCCTAGTCTCTCCCTCTCATTTCTGTTTCCTAGCCACTATAAGGTGGAGCAGCTCTGTTCCATCACATCAAGGTGGAAGCAAGATCCTATACTAAAACTAACCAGTGAAAAAATGTGACTTAGCTATACTGTGCTAGGTTGGCAAGGGCAAAGCAAAAAAAAAAAAAAAAAAAAAGGTAAAAAATCCTCGAGCTGGGAATGTGGCTTAGTGGTAGAGTGCTTGTCTAGCATGCATGAAGCGCTGGGTCTGATTCCCCAGGACCAGATAAACAGAAAAAGCCACAAGTGGCACTATGGCTCAAGTGGTATAGCTCTATCTTTGAGCATAGAGAGGCTCAGGAATAGACCTAGGTCTTGAGTTCAAGACTCAGGACTGACAAACAAATGTCCAGACCAAGGGGTAAGGAAGGTGGCACAGTGGCAGAGTGCTTGCCTTGCAAGCATGAGGCCCTGGGTTCGATTCCTCAGCACCATATAAGCAGAAAAAAAGCCAGAAGTGGTGCTGTGGCTCAAGTGGTAGGGCACTAGCCTTGAGCTGAAGGACAACGCCCAGGCCCAGAGTTCAAGCCCCACGACCAACCAAAAACAAAAACAACAACAACAACAAATGACCAGACCAAACAAAAAAACCTTGCATAGTGGCAAATTCCTGAAATCCCAATATTTGGGAGGCAGAGCAAGTCAGGAGAATGCTGAGTTCAAAGCCTGGGCTACACAGTATATTACATGTGAGTTTGAACTACACTGGTTTTGTTTTCTCTTTTGTAGAAGGTACTGGGGGCTTGAATTCAAGGTTACACAGGAAATCTACCACTTGTGCTATAAGTCCAACAGAAGTGCTGTTAAGTCTAGTCCAAGAACCTTTTTCAAAATTAAACTGAAAGATGAAGACCAGATTTAACAATAACATTTCTTAAATGTTATTTAACATTTATATTTAGGGCTGAGAATATGGCTCCTCAGTGGTAAAGTGCTTGCCTAGCATGTATGAAGCCCTGGGTTCCATTCCTCAGCTCCACATAAACAGAAAAGGCTGGAAGTGGTGCTATGGCTCAATGGCAGAGTGATAGCCTTGTGCAAAAGAAGTTCAGGGACAATGCCCAGGCCTTAAATTCAAGCCCCAGGATTGGCCAAAAAAAAAAAAATTAAACATTTCATATTTAATATTTATTCTCAGTTTAAGGCACATTAAATAATATAGTAATACAGTTAATGAGAAAGTCAAGTCTACTTAGTTTTACATTTATAAGACAACATGCATTAGAAGAAATGTTATGGCAACAAAATTTGAATTACTGTTTATAAGCTACTTGAGAACCAGGATCCCAACTACTGGGGAAGCACAATGGCTGGATGCAGAGGCGCCTGTCTAACATTCTCATTGACATAGAAAAGCTCAAGTGGGAAGATTATTAAAAAAAAGCCGCCCAAGACATAAATGTCCCTACCTTGAAAATGACCATCCAAAGAGGGACTAGAATAGTGGCTCAAGTATAGAGCTCTGCGTACCAAGTGTGAGAAACTAAGATCAATCCCCAAGGACTGGGAAGGTGGCTCAGTGGTAAGCGCTTTGCCTTGCATTCCAGAGGCCCTGGGTTCGATTCCTCAGCACCACATAAGCAAAAAAAAAAAAAAAGCCGAAAGAGGCGTTGTGGCTCAAGTGGTAGAGGGCTAGCCTTGAGCTGAGGGACAGTGCCCAGGCCCAGAGTTCAGGCCCCACG